CTTCCGGTCGTGCGTATGTGGGGGAAAAAAGCAGCGCTGTTTTATCATAGTAGATACATTTGAAAGTTCTGTTCTGTGCGGTCGTCACCGGTCTATTAAAATGCACAACATATAAAAGCGTCTTTGGTGTTTACATGTTTTCTACGAAAAAAAACCCGGAAATCGAGGGGTTATGACGTCATTGGCAGGCGACACAATGACACTACTCGGTGTTCGGCGAAATATGGTAGGTCATTTGCGGGGGAGTTTTTACTTTACAAGTTACAGACATGGCCGATTCGCAGGGGATTAAGATGACAGACAACCTCCGCAATTATTACAAATGACTGGAGGTCACCAGGTAATACTAATGTCGTGCGAATAGGGCTAATGTGTTGGTTTGGTGGCTCTTCTTGTATACTGTACGAGCTGTTAACACAGACTCTGTAGACTCGAAAATTCCGTACTCGTTTTTGGTTGTAAATTTAGATTAAAGGTGTAACGTTAGTCTAGGCATATCAATCTTTTAAAGAAAAAGCTGTTTTATACTACAGCGCCAACAGCCGTGAATGTCAAGCACTGCAGCACTGCAAGCGCCAACATTTGCGTCCGCGCGCAGCAGTGACGTCAGCGCAATACCGCGCGCGTTCATACATCTCAAAATTTCGCAAATTCATTAAAATGAATAACTTCGAGAGAATATTAGCGGAGCAAGTGCGTCGGCACAAGCACCTCTATGATCCGAATATGCGCGATCATAGTGACCTTCAGTTGATTCAGAAAGCGTGGAACGATGTCGCTGCCGCTACGGGGAAAGACGAGGCAGAATGCCGTAACGTTAAAGTGTGGAAGAACTTAAGAGACAAGTTTGTGAGGATCAAGAAGAGGGTCCACGCAAGAAGCAGTGATCCAAGTCCATACAAGATCATGGCAGAGCTGGGATGGTTAACCCAATTTGTTAAAAATCGGGAAAAAGGCCCAAATGTGAAGGTAAGAAACAAAAAGTCTGTTTTTGGATGGTAGCATCCTAGCTAACTTAGCTGGTCTGTTGCTCTACTAGTTAAAATTGCTTATTTCTCTGGATTTAAACATTCTTCAAAACATTTGGGATAATGTAAATACACAAGTCAGCAAAATATATAACACTGTTCTAGTGGTTTTTGGATATTTTAATAATTTAATACATATTGTGCCTTTAAGGTTCAATTCTCGCTATTAACAAACCAGTAACTATGAATTTTGCCTAAATAAACTCCTAATTTGCTGCTTATTAATAGTTAGTTAGGTAGTTGTTAAGTTTAGGTATTGGGTAGGATTAGAGATGTAGAATATGATCATGCAGAATATGTGCTTTATAAGTACTAATAAAAAGCCAATATGCTAATAATAAGCATGCTAATAAGCAACTAGTTAATAGTGAGAATTGGTCCCTATACTGAAGCTTTACCAAATATTTTAGCCTACACTGCAAAAAATGGCTTATCTTACTTAGTATTTTTGTCTTGTTTCTAGTCAAAATATATCTAAAAATTCTTAAATCAAGATACTTTTACTAGATAAGCCAAGTGACATAAGATATTTAGTCTTGTTTCCAGGGAAAAAAAAAACTAAATTAAGTGCATTTTGCTTAAAACAAGTAAAATTATCTGCCAGTTGGGTAAGTACTATGCTCTTGTTTTAAAAATATTTTACTTACCCCACTGACAAATAATTTTACTTGTTTTAAGCAAAATGCACTTAATTTAGTTTTTTCCCCTGGAAACAAGACTAAATATCTTAAGTCACTAGTAAAAGTATCTTGATTTAAGAATTTTTAGATATTTTGACTAGAAACAAGACAAAAATAAGTTTTTAGATAAGCCATTTTTTGCAGTGTAATATGTTAAATTCTCATACAGTAAAGTTAATTCATTTGATTAATAAAATCAAAGCTTTATTGGCATGATTGTTGGAATTTACAACATTTACAAAACATATATGCTTCTTTATGTAAAACTATTAAAATAGATAACTATAAAATAGATAACATATATGGTAAAGAGATACATGATAGAGATGCATACAAAATGAAGTGGAAAATAAAACAAATTAACTGATTTTAAAATTTTGGACTTATCAGTGAATGGATTTAAAAGTCTTTGGAAAGACTTTGGAATGAAATTAAGAAACTTCGAAACTGAAATTAATAAACATTTATTAATAATAACAAATTATTCTAACTTTATTCAGATGATGTCATGGGCAATGTGTAATAATATAATATAATATAATATAATATAATATAATATAATATAATATAATATAATATAATATGAAACCATGTCTTAATGTTGTGCTGTCAATTTTGATTTAAAATAAAATGTTAATTAATTAATAATATACATTTATGATGATCCCAGGTTGCTATAGTCACACAGGTTTGTTTACACACTAAACATGCTACAATAGAGTATTATAGTGCTGGCCCTCTTTTTCAGCAGCACTGGTTCTGGAAGTATTTTTTCCATTCATTCTTCCCATAGGGGTTTAAAATGAAAAGTCTTTGTTAAATCGCTACAAGCCATGAATCTGTTAGGCCTAATATGCACATATTAAGTCTTTTAACTTTCAAACAAGTTGAAGATGGAAACAAGCATCTATATCCAGTAAACCAGTGTATTTTTTTTACTGCATTTGTAAAAGCTATATTTTACTTATACCATTTAATTTGTAGTTTAAAGTTTCTCTGTGTGCATTAGAATTAAGCATGAAATAAGTACAATCACATAAAATGTTCAAACAGAACAGAATAAATGTTTATTTATTTTTTAGTATATGTATAAAATAAATGTACCTTACATACAATGTCTATGTCTTTTTCACTAGTTAAGCACAAACCAACCTTACATCAACATACAATACTAAATAATTTAGCATGCAAGACATCTTCCATTGACAAATCTGAATATAATTAGATTAAAGGATGTGCTTTGTTCAAAACAAGCCAAAGGCAGAAGTGTTGTTTGTTCTTTCTGATTTGATCAATTTTAAAGCAGAATCTCAGGCCTCTGCTATGGAAAAAAGATCTGGAACAGGTGGTGCTAAATGTGTCCTTCACAGAACGCACTGGGGAGGGAACATTATTATTTTCCTTTGCTGGAGTCAATGACAGCACTGTTTCAGCACCACATCGTGGACAGCGACACCGATATCAATGCAGTCAATATGTAGACGAAATTAAAGCCCTCAAGCATCGAATTTGGAATAAGAAAGAGCACAAATGATAAAAAAAAATCTCCTTTAATAATTTAATTACATGTGTGACACTGATCATGTGAACCCCTACTATGTACAGAACCTTTTTTTTTTTTTTTTCTTTTATTGACGCATAATATGTTCTCAAACATTTTCAAATCATACCGGAAAGCATTCGATCAGGACTTATACAACAAAGACGGCATACCAAATACTAAGACATTCTGAAATTCATTAACATTTCAATCAATTTGTTATGTTGATAGTATAATATGAATTTTAATTATTCAATTTAAGTGGAAAACAATGCAAAATGACGGTATTTAATGGTCTCGCACTTGCGTCTTCCACTATACAAATCATGTTCAGTTTATTAATCTGACTGTCCAGGCTCAGTAGATGGCAGCAAAGCCACATTTTAAATCGACCCGATAATAAGCCTCGCTCTCAAACTCAAAGAAATGCCATCAGACCAACGCATTTTGCAGCCATTATTAGTATCATAGGGAACTGTGAGACATGTGCTGTCTGCTGATGAAGTGTGCTGCACTCTTTTCCAGAGGGTGTGTGAGTTTGAACGTGTGCGTTATATTGGATCGGATGCGGGGGGTGCATTAAGAATGATGAGCTGCGTTTTATATAAATATTCCTGTCATGAGGTTGCGTAAACAAAGTTGTCATCAAAACACATTCATCCACACGCCCAGACATATCGCCAAATGTCATGCTCATCCTAACATTAAAACTGTTGCTTCGTATTAACTATGTTGATTTTACATTTTGCAAGTCAGTGTTGCCTTAAATGCGTACATGACTCTTACTAGAATTCGTCGTAATTTAAAAGTAGAAATTTTCAAGATTAATTGAAAATTCGAACTACATGCTTATTTGATTCGTGAGTTATTTTGGATATGGTGAAATATGTATCACAACTCTTTCAAACATGGAAAGATTTTCTTTAAACACCTTTGGATATCCAGAACCTCTCTCTTTCATCCATTTAGATTATTATTGGACAAGTATTCAGGTTTTTAATAGTTTTTTAATCGATTCATTCATTCATTCATTCAGGTGTTTTACAAGTTTTAAAATCCTAAAAGAATTTCTTTACATACATTTGTATGGGATGTTCTACATTGGGAATAATAAAACTGCACACAGAATGCTTTCTATAAGAGTGTTTTATATTAAACATATGTTGGATTCAAGAAAATTTGATTTCGTTAGGATCAGACCCAAATATGAGCGAAATTCTATTAGTAATCCCATACTGCATTTATTTATTATTATTATAATATATATATTTTTTCCTTACTGGGGAGGTTGCAGGCTTTTTCGGATTGTTCCTGTAAAATTATATGGCTCCCTTAAAAGCGACTTTATGAGTTGATATTTTTATGTGGACCCATAAGAGTCTGCAGACTGTAGATCTCCATCCATATTCCCCTGTATCTCACATGATGGTTGAGTCCAGCGCCTTCCTCTAGATGCGGACTGCCTCATCGCTCCATTCTGTCTCCACGGTTTGGACCGAGGGAATCACTTTTGGTCCCAACACCACCGTGTCTCGTCTCTGCAGTGGCTATTCTCGGTGATATGAGAGCTAATATAGACGAATCCGTGTGCCATAGGCGTCAGATGTTCTTGCCAAAGCTGGATCTCTATGCATTACTGTGATCGGAGAAAATAAACCGCAAGACATCGTGGCGCTGCGTGGAATTACAGCGGACACGATGGGCACATTGAAGCAGATCCTGCTGCTTTTCGCAGGTTTTGTTGCCGCAGCTCACGGTAAGTTGAAAGTCTGTTTTATAAGCTAGGTGTCATTGTCATTAATCTCCTATAGGAATACCACTTTTCTTGGGTATGACTACAAAAGTCCTTTAGACCTTGAATATAGATGGACGTTGAATTTGCGTTTGTTGAAGCCACATCAAACTTGCATATGGCACGCACACAAAAAGTGTTTAAGCTATGGCGTATATATTGTATATTTTTTGTCTGATTAAATGAGAGACATATTACCCAGCAAGATGATTTCGGTGAAATTACGAGAATATTGAATTTCGATTGATTATGTATGTATGTGTGTGTTTGTGTTTGTGTGTGTGTGTGTATATATATATATATATATATATAATTTTTTTAATTCGTCACAATGCCTGTTAGACTTCAGGTAGTAGGGTAGGAAGAAAACGCGATTCATTATTTCTCTGAAAATTACATCATGATATTTACAAGTGAAAGACTATTTTACATCACATAAACGTGTTGGTATAAACTTTTTGGATCACAGACAGCTGTGTTGCGTAAAGAAAGGCCTATGGTTCGTCTGTAGTCATATGGTTATTCCTAGCCGTCTTTCACCGGTTTCCATAGAGGTTCTACGCGTTTGCTATAGTCTGTCAGTAGGCTGACTTTGCAGTCTGAATCTAATTTAAAATATAGTTTATAACCTGTAGTGTGAGAGGGAGCCACAATTTAATATTCAAATGTGAGAATTTGCGAATAAAACATAAGCCAATTAAATTTATAGGAGTCTGATGTTTACGTTATGACATTTTTAACTTTTAGGCTATATGGAGATTTATACATTCAGGGTTAGGTTAATGGTTAAATGCACTGCAAACTTTATTTGATCTATTTTTACAAATAGAATATTTTTTTTTTTTTAATTACAGACAGGTAGGGGGAGAGTCGGGACGGTTGCAACAGTTTTTGCATTTGCTTTAGTTTCTCAGAGACTGTTTGCATTAGAAAGCTAGAATTATAATACAATAAAGCCACATCAGTCAGCTACTCACCCACATTGCTGTAACACGTGCACATATGATTATATACATACAATTTATACTTGAATAGACAAAGTCAAATGTTGCAACTGACCCCACAACAGGGGACGGTTGCAACAGTCCACAGGGGTAGTTGCAACATTCATTAAAATGTAATTAAAACAATTCTTAAATATCATTTTGCAATTTCTTTATTTTATTTGTGCATAGACATGGTCTTTAATAAGTTAAATTGGCTGTATAAAAAACAAAGAATAGTAAATGGGGGGAAAAAAACATTTTCAATTAACAACCATGTCTTGGTTAATTATTACAATACATTTGAACTATAAGACACTGAAATTTAATAATAGCCTACTTCTGTTAACATATGTGAAAGGTTACTGAACTGAGGCCATTGCATAAACATAGCCACTATCTTAAGACTGACTTAATACATATCTTGACCAACTAGCAGTTAACAGTGGTAATCAGTCTTACTTTTTTAAAATTCAAATTAGACAAATCTACCATTTTATGGAACTGACTTAAGTCCACTTTTGAAATGAGTCCACTTTTACTTAAATAAAAAAGGAGAAATACCTAACTATTGAAAGGGGTTCTTTATTAATCCATAAAATTACAATTATGTAATGTTATGGCAAGCTTTTACATCAATGTTGTGGTAAGGGACAGCATGTTGGGACGGTTGCAACAACGTGTTGCAACTGTCCCCACACTGACAGCCGTGACAAAACTTGGTATATTAGCTTGACACAATATCTTTGACACATGCTAACTATGCCTATTAGAAGCTAAGAAAACACAGATTTAAATCATATGTTTTTACAATGCTTCACGCAAACAACTTAGACAGTATGACAAAAAATCTGATGATTCAGAAAAATACTTTTTTACCATGAAAATTATTATTTGTAGAAGGAATGGTCACATGTGCCTGATTTTATCCAGGAAGGATGAGGGGCTGATTGAGCATGTGTAGTATGAATATCATCACTGTGGCTCATTCCTGATTGAAGAAATAAGCCATTTTGCAACCGTCCCTTGTTGTAACCGTCCCCACTCTACCCTACATTGCTCATAGACGTCCTGGTGTTGTAGCTACAACTATTTTAAGTTCCAAAGTGTTTGCAATGCTGCTGATGGATAAGCAAAAAATCTTTTAACTCAACAAACTTTTTGTTAACTATCATGCACTGATTCGTGCATTTCACCTACGCCCCCCACTAGGCGAGAACTAGGACCTCTAGAAGGCCGCTATTCTACAAGTTACAATGTAACAAGTGTTGCTAACATAACGTTAACGGTGTCTTTTAAATTCCACAAGCTATGACAAATGATATATAATCAACGTGATTTAACAAATTTTTTTTTTTTTACATATTTAAAGTAACAGCTATTAATTAGCACTTTTTTTTTTTTTTTCTTTTGACATCTCATAAAGCGTTTGGACCACTGATCTATATATAATATTCTCTATTATAGATCAGTGGTTTGGACCCAGAAAAAGTGACGTGTGACGTCAGACTTAACAAGCGAATAATGCCTCCTCTCTCCAGCAACAGCTGTCACTCACATGAGATCGCAGCAATTGCAAAATTAATTGCACATTACAAATTAACACATTATATATAGACCTACAGTATAATATACACAGATCCTTGCACATAGCATGGAATTAAATAATACAGGAAAATGCAGTCTCGTGGCCTGCTCAACTCCATTACCTCACTGCTGATGTAGGCCTACTTGTGTGAATGAGCAACTTTACCCCGACAGTCTCCTCTTTCTGTCTGTAAACTTCAATTCAAAGGTTACTTTCTCTATTCTCATTATGTTCAACATTTTAGAGGACACGCTTTTTCAGAAGAATTAGTGATGCTGCAGGCACTTCCACTGCTTCCCAAGCCTGTGAAAGAATCATTAGTTTTGTCACAGCTGTGCCATCAAAGTTAATGACAATGACTGCTGCTATTCCTTGTTCAAAGGCATGTGGGGAGTTTTCAGGGACAGGCATTAATTAATCTAGTTTTATCAGCCATGATGTGCAAAATAGTAGAAAGCATGGAAAGTTTATTTGTTGCTCAAAATACATCAGTTTTTGGAGTAGCTTTCTTTTTTCCCCTCTTTTCCCAGAATGATGTTAAGCCTGATCATAGCCTTCAATTTTGTAATTTTGGGGTCTCCCAAGCACTAAACAACAATATTTATTAGGTATGATCCATGGAAAAAAATTAAATAAAATGAATGAATAAATAAATAAGCAAGCAAGTAAACAAACAAACAAAATAAATAAATGAATAAATATTTAGACTTCCCTTGCTTTAAAACTTGGTCAAATGCAATGCTTAATGTTTCACAAATGCAGGGTATGCTGTACATTCTTCTGAGCCCAGCTACTCTGTTGATGTCAAACTGTATGGCAGCTTTTTCTGGATAAGCATGTTACCCACAGGGTGTTGTGAGACTATGGTGTTTGGACTTTGGACATACTGTGTCTAGGGAGGTCTGGTGCATGCTCCCCTGTAAGAAAATGTTTTTAAAAGTTAAATGCACTAATCTGGTGTAGTTTGAGAGCATAAATAAGAAGAAGAAAAAGAAAAAGAAGAAGAAGAAGAAAAGCAATTTGAACAATAATACTGACAACAACAACAACAAGATTACAATTAATCATTGTTTAAATGCAGCTCGTCTTCTAAAAAGACGTGCCACATCAGAAGTTAAATGCATTAGTAACTTAAATATCCTGTATTTACTGCATTTTATTTATTTAATTTTCCTTTCAAATGTATTTGCATGGTCACATTGTAAAGTGTGCAGTTATTAAACATGTTATTAACAGTTTCACCTCTTCATTATTACCTTATCAGCTCTTTGAATCAATAATGGTTTAATGAATCTTGCCGACTGACACTCTCCCAGAGTTTTGAGACGTGTTTCTGAAAAATTAAACTTTTTTTAACGTCACAGCATTTAAAAAATGTGGCATAAACATCTGAAAAGCAGTCTGCTCAACAGTCAAAGATGTCTGTTGTTTTTACATCAGAAACAAACTTTTGACTTTTTTATCACCACTAGACTAGATTTTGATGTTATAGTGTGAGTGAATTGAAAAAAGATCAGGGCTATGGACAATACGTCATGGGCGTAAGTCCCCAAAGTAGCTACACACCAATAACAGATTACAAGTGGACAATATGTCTGTTGTTATCTTCTAAGCTGTATTGAGACGTGTCAGAAATATCGCTCCATTTTGATGAACTGTCACTGTGCAAATTTCTGATGGGGATATGCACATTATTTTGCAATGTTGAAGTAAGCTATTTTATGTGAATGTATGAGACTTCCAATCCCTCAGCCACAAAAGTTAAATAAATAGAAGAATATAACAAGCTGCAGTAAACTGTTAAAAAAGTGGTAGCAATGCATCACCATACTTAAGCTCATCTTCATATATTTTTTAATAATTACTTTGATTATCTTTGAAATATTGTTAAATTGTATTGTCAAATGTACTGACAATAATTTATGGCAAACTAGTATATACTTTGATGCAATTTCTATTGTCAACTTCTATGTCATGTATTTAAATATATTTGCAATTACACATTTGTAACAATGATCGCAGTTTAGAAAATAAAAAATATATTAACTTAATGTAATATAGCATTACAGTTTAAATTTTAAATTACATTCAGGAACTTTACATATGCTTTAGAATGCTAGTCAACACTTTTAAAACTTTTTAAGCACTTTTTGTGCTTAAAGTTTGTTAGGAAATAGAGTCATTAAAATATACTCTCTTTAAGGAAAGATCTTTCTCTGAATATAAAAGGACTTTCCTTTTTAGCTGACATCAGATTTCATGTTGATATTTGAGTAATGATGAGCTGGCATTGAATCAATGCAATTGGACAGAAGGCTTGTATCTGATGTCATCTGAATAGAGGCACACCCATCCTCAAATCTCAGTGATATCAATTTAATTCACACACACAC